CCATCAATGGGTTTACTGAGCTTAAGGGACTTGCTATCCCTTACTTTCATGCCCTTACTTTCACATCCTGAGTGCTTGAGAAAGTGGCAACTGGGTATTGTAGCTTCTGAGGTTTTTCCTGAAATCCACTACCTTTTTAAGTTATTCTTGTCTGTATAAATTTATTTGATTTTTATTGCTTTATTGAAAGTGAAACAGCAGAGAAGGAAATTCAAGCTTGCAGTTCCATCAGTCCTGATGGGGAATGTAAGATCACTGGGAAATAAGATGGACGAACTGTGTGAGCTTGTTCGGACCAAGAGGGAGTATGCTGTCAGCAGTATCATGTGCTTCACGAAGACCTGGCTTCATACTAACTTCCTGGACAACAGTGCATCTGTGCCAGGCTTTAAGACTGTGCATAACGACAACTGGATGGTGTTAAGGGCTCTGTATTGTTTTTTGATTTCTCCAGTGCCTTTTATACAATTCAGCTCTTTCTGATGAGTGAGAAGCTGCTCAAGATGGGTGTCAGCTCCTCCATTGTCTCCTGGATTACTGACTACCTGTCAGGCAGGCCCCAGTATGTCAAAATCTGCTCCAGACAGGTTCAGTTTGCAGACTCTGATTGGACATTTGAATACGTGAGGACTATCAACCTGTATGTTATTATGTAGGTATTAGGTTGACAGAAACTGCCAGGTATGAAACAAAACTCTAGGTCTGAAAAAAGAACCTAATAACACAAAGTATCAGAAGACCAAATGAATCTCATTGGACTAGGACTATCAGTCGCCATCCTATCCAGATCCCAGCTCAAAGTGAAGTTCTGCTGTGGGGCTGGACCAAAAGAGGCATCGATGGGAAGAACCACTTGAGGTGCGTGGACTTTTAATTGCTCGCACTTTATCAACTGTACAATGTGGACGAGTTGTTGGTAAAATTAGAAATCCAAATAATTCACCAATGTACCTGTATAGACACCAACTGTTAGTCAAAACATGTATAATTGATTCAGCAGATATCATCCCAGAGAATAAAGCGACCTTGACTCATGTCAGTGCAAAGTGCGTACAGATAAGATTAAAGTGTGTGCCCAGTCCAATGCCATGCCTACCTTGAATCATCTTAACCTGTCTAGAGAACAAAGGGAGCACCTACAAGCTCTCCTCTGCAAAAACGTCTTCACCAGAAGCAATGATGACTCTGGATTGAGAACAACAGTACAAATGTAATGTAATCCCAACTGCAGATGCACCACCATTAGAACACTACCACCAAAGCCCACCACAAATGTACCAGGAGGTGAAAGCCTTGATATAAGATATGTTGTACTCAGGAATCATTGTACCCAGCACCAGGCCATGAGAAGTTCCCATAATGTGAGTGCGTAAGAAAGATGGGACTCTTAGATTCTGTGTGGATTACTGCAAATTGAATGGATGTTTACCTGCTCCCCCATATAGAAGAGACACTAGCAGGCTTGGGCAAAGTAAGGTTTTTCACAACATTAGACTTAGATAATGGATCCTGGTAAGTGCAGGTTTGCCCTAATGACAGAGAAAAAAAAACAGCTTCTGTTACACCAATGGCCAATATGAATTCACCAGAATGCCCTTTACATTGTCAAATGCACCTGCAACATTCCAGAGATGAATGCACACGTCTTGGTGACCAAAATTTGCTGTTTGTACTCCTATACTATACTTGGATGGTGTTATCATATACTCACCTGATTTTGACTGTCATTTTTTGAGAAATGATATACAATACTTGGGTCACAGAGTGTCTGCTGCAGGAATATCTTCAGAACCCAAAAAAGTTAAACGTGTTAAAGAATCCCATCCATCCATTTTCTTCGCTTATCCGGGGCCAGGTGGCGAGGGCAGCACTCTAAGCAGGGACTCCCTGACTTCCTTCACCCAAGACACATCCTCCAGCTCCTCGGGCGGAATCACAAAAACTGGAAAACAATTTCAGTCACTCCTTGGTCTAGCTGGTTACTACCGCACTTTTGTCAAAGACTTTGCTAAGATTGCTAACCTACTTAATGTCTTTTTAACAGGAATAAGCCAAAAGAATTCAAAACATTCTTTGACAACAACTCCTTTCTTCATGAGATGAAATGTGCACAAATGCCTTTAAGACTTTAAAAGATGCCCTCACATCTGTGTCAATTTTGGCCTACGCTGATTTTAACCTGCCCTTTGTCTTGTACACAGTAGCCAGGGCTTGGATGCAGTGCTGCCAGCTACAGGATCGTATATCTGTTCTTCAGTTCTTACATTCAGATCTTTCCAATAAAAAAATCATTACTCAATTTACTCTGAACTGAATGTTTGTCATGGCAACTTGTGACCAGCGACCTTGGACCATTCCAGCATACAAACAGAATTAGTTCTAATGTGAGTATTGGCCTTCATTAAAGGTGTTATCAGTGCACATGGTAGAGAGAGCTGAGGAGATGAAAGTGTGTTGTGTTGTGATTGAACAGAGCAGTGAGAACCTGAGCCCTGTGCTTCAGCTGTGCACACTGGTCCACAGGCTGATAGTACAGGGCTGTGTGAGGACACTAACTGTTTTGGACAGCACTGTGACTCATAGATCCCACCCATCCCTCATCCTCCCAGAATTACAATATTTCCAGCAGCACTGAAAACTCTCTCCGATGATGCGCTTGTTGCAGATGTACATGTTCCTCGATTGTCGCGTCGATGTAGAGTATGTAGTGTGGGAGAAGTAATACTTGGCTTTGGAACAAGTGCTGCTGCATCTCTCCAGCTCCAGCTCTTACTGTGGTAGCTCGCTTCAGAGTCCTGCACCAGGTCGGGTACAAGAGGACTTAAGAGAGAGAACCCTGAGCACGGTGCAATCGGGTGGCGTCTGCACTTACCTCCGTGCAGCGCGGAGCTCTACACCAGACGCCTGTGGTCACCCAACGGTCTATGTGGGTGCGCCTTAGTTCTGGGTTAGTCCTGGGTTATCACAAGCACGGGCGATAACTGGTGGAATGTTAATGGGTCCGAGGTCTCTAAAAATGGACCCGTGCAGGACTCTGGGTCGGGTTGCATTGGTTACGTGCGGTGATCGCAGTGACCCAACATCCACCGTGGTGGGCCTCTTAGTACCGTGATGATTCATTTTTGTGGTTATCATGACAGCCCTAAGTGGAACAGAGTGTTTTCTGTGTGTGAATGAAAACTAAACAAAACTCTATGTTTGTGATGAGGACACAACGTTACAACATTGTAACAGATCAGGGAACAGTGTAATAAAATAATAATAATAATACATTAGTCTTATATAGCCCTTTTCCAGATGCACAAAGTCACTTTGAGTGCCCATACTCAGAGGTGGTAAACTATTCTTGTAGCCACAGCAGCGAGGCTACCAATCTGCACCTTTGGCCCCTCTGACCACCACCAACACTCACACACCACTTTCATACTCTGCAATGTGCGTGAAGTGTCTCGTCCATCAAATGTCTTGTCTAAAAACACAATTACACTGGCGTCTCACTGTGGCTCCTGGTATCCCCAGCAGTCTCCCACCCAAGCCCTGACCAGGCCCAGCTCTATGTAGCTTCTGAGATCTGACGAGATCAGGCTTTGATAAGGAGGTTTGGCCATACGGGCCCTTTACGATGCTATGATGGCTAAATGAGAACCAGCACAGCTCACACTGACACTATCATCATTTTGTGCTGTCTCATGTTCATGTCTGACTATCAGCTCTTCATTTTCTGTCTTCTCCTAAATCAAAGTTTTGCTCTGAATGTTTGTGACCATGTCTGTCTATGTAATAGTTGTAAATCGTTTTGTATGTACATTGTTTTAACCTGTCATTTTTTTAGGGTGACAGTGTCTGTGCATCTGCACAATGGTTAAATTGGGTGCGTCGGCAGAAATGTTAATTTATGTACACTGTCCCTGTTAAATAAATAAGCACATACATACATTGCAGTTTGAATGGGTATCTTCATCTGTATCAAACTGTCAGCTCTGTAGATCTCATACTGCCCCGGACGGCTGCCCTGTCGGCCCGTGTCTAGGACCGCTCCTGCTAAAATGTGATTGTTGTATTAGTTTGTCAGTTCATATTCTATTTTAGTCTTTTTGCCAGTTCTACAGGGCGTGTTTAAAACAAAATCATATTATTAAAACATAAATCACAAATCTGCTCACTAATCTAACCACAATCTATTTGCAATTAGTCAATATTTTTCCCCAAATCGTGCAGTCCTAACATACACCACCAGTCGAGGTCTGGACATACTTTATCATTAGATAAAGATTCCTATAACCACCCTTTGCTTTGTCGTCCACTTGATCTTCTCTCAGTGAGCTTCATGATAAAGTCTATTTGGAGGAAAGTTATTTCATCTTTTTTGTTTGACTACACTCCATATGTGTTTGTTCATAGTTTTGATGCCTTCATAGAAAAGCTAGAGGTAGAAAGAAACAACATGTTTATAATAAGAAGAAGCAACAGGGTGTTCTCTTGTAACATCACAACATTTTTATAATCCCTATAAAAATGAAGTATTTATCTATCGATCTATAGTTTAAACAGAGTTGGAGGATAGGTCAGAATTCTATGGTGGAATTTACTGGTGAACTGTCGGACTGCAGATTTATTCACCTGGTTTGTGGTTTATATCTTTGTAATTACTGAGCCTATCCACCTAAAAAATAAATAGGTTGGACATTTGGATATTTCAAAAACAGAGAATCTCCCACAGAGTCATGTAAACCCATGTCCTCCAACTAAAATGAGGGCATCAAATTCTGAACGTAACCTATTCTAAACAAGATTCAAACTCAACATAACATCTTTCCCATCAGACAGGTGAATATGTTATTGAGTGGTTAAACATTAGCTCTGTGAGAACAGTCCCCCTCGAGCCTCAGATGCTGCTCTGTGTGTGTGTGGTGTGTGTGTGTGTGTGTGTGGGGGGGGGGTCAGTATATGGGGATATAAAAAGGACCAAAAGGACTTGGTTAGGTAGTTAGTGTGGACAGGATGGTGCTGCTCAGGATTTGTGTGGCTGTGGCCGTGTTTCTGGAGGCCGTCTCGGCTGCTTCGGTAAGTCATTTGGATATTTTTTATTTTTTGCACAATTGTTTTTTGTTGTAGTTTTTTTTAAATACGTTACATTAACTTCTTTAGGGCCAGGACAAAACAGGTTTCCAATTCCATATTTATGAGTTAGGCATCTTGTAGAGTATGATCTGAGCTGTGCAGAAATGAATAACAACAGGTTCTGGAAAAAAATAAATAAATAAATTAAAGCCATTCGCAGCGATGATGGCCCTCGTCCCAGTGCGCTCGCCCCTCCCACACAACTGCCGGGCACGCGTGACCATCTTGACATGCCAGCCTCACTTCCCAACAACTGCCCAGGCCAACAGCTCGTCCACCAGACAAATTAAATAATGCAACTTTAAGTATTTTTAGGAGTTATTGTGCCTCTGCTGGCCATCTGTGGAAAATGCCCCATGTCCGTAATATATTTTTTAGTGTTCACTATAGTGAACACCTTTCAAATACTTTATCATGTATTGTAATAAGACCAAAACCATGCATTAGTGATTAAAATTTCAGCACGAGTGAACTAAGTATGTGCATGTAATCATTTTTTGGGGGAGTCTTTGCAGCCCTGCTGGCCAACCATGACAAATGCCTCATGTCCGTAATATTTTTTTTGGTTGTAATCATGCAGAGAATTTAATCCCAGAATTTGATACTAATCCGATAATGTTGACGTTTCATGTCTATACTAGGAGGCGCTATAGAGTTCACTTTTATTAAATTTCACATTTCATTACATTCAGGCCTAGATCACACAATTGTGATTTGAATTTGAGCTCTCTAGGCCAATGCCTGTGGCCGTGACAGGTCTTCAAAGAAATAGGAAATGAATGTGTTTTTCGCTAGCGTGCTACGGGCGAACCGTAAGGACTATCACAAAAAAACAGATAACTTATGTCTGTAGATGTAACATGTCAAATCTGAGCTCATTTGGTCCAAACACCAGGGACTTGAATCTTTTTGCAAACACACAAGTCATAGGTGTCATAGGGCTGCACAATGTTTGGCTTTTTTGCTTGTCTCCTGGAGTTCTATCACTATCACAATTTTAAATGTGAATAAGCAAATAATCAAAATAGTAGACTCATTTTTACTTCACATCACTTTTAGTTAACCAAACTAGAACTGTTTAGACCTAATCTGGCTCACACCAGATTGAGATGTGTGTTACTTAGCTCTCACTGAAAGTGATCGGAAACTCAGAACGTCATGACAACTATTTAAATCTTGAAGCATTGAAGTGTCACAACAGCGGAACAAGACAAAAAATCTAACTTTTGTTACATCCAGAGAAAAGCATCTTCCCTGTCCATAAATGCACAAAGCAATGTACCTTCTGCACATTTATCACAAACTTTAAAGTCCTGTAGTGTCTCTAGTGTCTCAACTGTGCCACTTTTAGTGTGAGCAAACTCTCAAATGACACTACACTGATTGTAAATGACCATGTTTATTTGTATTTTGCTGAAACAGTCATTGTATTATATTTGAAACTTGTTCCTTTTTCACTTTTGTTTAACTGACAGTTTAGACATGCTTTTATTTTCAAGAGCTACTTCCTGTGACCTGGAAAAGATGAGTATCAACCTTAAAACATAATAGTTTAAATAAATGAATGATCAAAGTTCCAGCTGTGATTTCAACATTGTTTTATATCAAATTGCGTGGATTATTGCCCACATAGAAATGCGGAAATGACTTCTAAGAGCCAGAGTAACAGCTCGCAGAGATTTAGATGATCATATTAGTGATTGATTTAATTAGGATTTGGGAAATGTCTGACATGGTTGACAGAAAAATAGGATTATGTCAGCAACACACAATAGCATGCTAATTATGATATTTCACAATATTTTAACACAAATTATTAACTTATTATGAACCTGTTCTCTGGAGAGGTAATCCCTCATACCTAGAAGGCAATAAAAACACCTGTAATTGAATCATAGTTTAGGTTGTAATGAGCTGTTTTCCCTGTACAGCTGGGCGTGGTTTCCACGGAGGGCGGCTTGGTGGAGGGAGTAAACATCGCCGTGGCCACTAACAGATACGTGGATGTTTTCAAGGGAATTCCCTTCGCTGCCGTCCCTGGACGCTTTGAGAAACCCAAACGCCATTCAGGCTGGAGCGGTGGGCACACACCAATACTCCTCTATCACAGGAACATACAAGTTATTTGCTTTCCAGATGTTTAACAAGTGAAGTCTTGTGTATGAGGAAAAGTGTCATTTTCTTGATTCAGGTTTTACATTCACTATAACATACCAATATTTAATTCAGCAACTCTCCATATTCTTTTGGCATATCAAATATTATTTTATATGTTATGTTATTATTGTGTCTCTTTTCTCAGGTGTGTTGAAAGCTAAAGAGTTCAAACCTCAGTGCCTTCAGTTGAATATGCTCATGACACAAGTCAGTGGCTCTAATGATTGCCTCTACCTCAACATCTGGGTCCCTCACGGCTCCCAAGGTAAACAGCAGCAAACTGTGTGTTTGGGTTTGACTTCTGGGACACCCACACCTTTCTATGCAAATGTTTCTCCCTGTGTCTGGGTGAGTTTCCTCAGAGCACATTGATTTCTCTAATCAACCCAAAACATGCAGAGTAAATAAAATCCTCCAGACTCAAGGTAGCCCTGACTAAGCCCAGCTCAAAATCTGATGAGGTGTCCAGAGGCATTGAAGGATGTGTCAAATTTCACTACGCAGACAATAACATTGACTTTAACTTGAATGTGCTTATATATGCAGGCTGGTTATTAGGCCGTTTATTTAATTTTGATGAAGTTTATAACTTCTTGGTTGGACACTTGATGTATTGATGATTAGGAATCCCTCTAACTAATAACCTACACCAAGACACACAGAAAATTGTTAATAAGGGGACAATTTATGCAGGGGGTATGTTTCGTAAACCAGATTTTAAATTACCATTAATTTCCATATTTTTAAGATTAGCTTTACACCATGCTCTTTGATGTAGGTCTATAGATTTTAGCTCTCCATTTAGATTTTTATGATAACCTTTAGGAGTTTTATTGATTGATTGATTGATATAGGTACAGCACTACTCAGCCTTATCCACAGGCAAATCTAGAGATTGCTTAAAAGAGAATACTGAGTGTGGGACAGATTGTAGCAGAGTTGATGCAAAACCTGAAGTGGAAGGACACGATCCATGACTACAGGGCCATGGTCATGATCCATAACAGCCGCCCAACCAGGAAGTAAAATTATAAGCTTCTGCAACATTGTCAAACCAGGGGAAACAAGATGTGTACAGTCTAGAAAAAAAAGTATGTTTTAGTGAAATTTGTCTGTCACTTTACTTCACCCATCATCCTTGAATATTTCATGTATAACTTCTGATGTAATTATGTTGTGAGTTGCATGAAAAGAAACATCAAAAAATCCAATTGTCTGACAAAATATTAACATATTCCTGAACATACACACTACACTTTTCAGTCCTCAATATAAACTCCTAAAACTACCACTTGTTTCAGTCTCCTCCAACCTGCCCGTGATGGTGTGGATCTATGGAGGGGCCTTCATGATGGGGAGCTCCATGGGATCGATCTCCCAGGGCGTCTACACGTACGACGGACAGGAGATCGCAAACAGGGGAAATGTCATTGTGGTGTCACTGGGATATCGTGTGGGAACCCTGGGCTTCCTGAGCACCGGACAGTCTGATCTGCCTGGTGAGAGTTTCTTTGATTTCTTTTCTCATTCAATCTTCACTCATGTCGTTCTGATGTGTTTACTGGCAATATGCTCAATCAAGTTCCAAATGTTGTCTCAAAAACATACCAAACATTTTGTTACAACTTAGTGACATCATGAGGTGCTCCTTAGTTTAAACATGACCAGCTTCAACACCATCACAGATGCTCATAAATCAGGACTGAATTACTTGTAAAGTACATCTCCTTGCATACATACAATATTTTAAACTGTAAAGTATTAAGTCTGAGGTATAGACCCATTGTCAGTTATCTTACTGTTATATTTAAAGTTTTATGTATTTCAAATTGTTAAAACCATTAAATGGCTGTGAAACAAAACATAACAAAAATCAGCATTTTAATTAAATGACATTATAGTTTAATTACATATTAAGGCCTTATCTTTTGCAGTAATGAATTCTGAAGTTATGGCCTAATACAGTTATTTATGGTGTGTTTCTGAATAAAAGCAGTAGCCTCCAAAATGAACAGAGCAACAGTCAAACAGGAGAAACCTCACTGTTCCTCCTCTCACTGCTTTACATAACCCATGCACAGTGCTCACTGTTGGTGGGACGTCCTGTTAATATAATGGTTTGTGATCTTCAGGAAACTACGGCCTGTGGGACCAGCAGGCTGCCATCGCCTGGGTGCACAGGAACATCCGCTCGTTCGGAGGAAACCCCAGCAACATCACCCTCTTTGGAGAGTCTGCAGGGGGCGCTAGTGTCAGCTTCCAGGTTTGCTCCATCTTTTATTGTTTCTGTTGGTTTATCGTAGAGGTGCTCAGATGGTGAGGCCGATCTTTTGGTAGCCCAATGCAGTTAGTCTTTATTTAATGAGACAGGGACAGTGCACAATATACATGAACTTTAACAGGAGGATGCACTGTACCGGGTTGTAGCACCAGTGCTAATTTCCACCTGTAGTCCCTGAGCATGTTCATTGATTGATTGTATTTAACTGACCTTAGCTATCAGCTATTCTTCCTGGAGATCAATGTAGCATCACGTCATCATTTTCGACCCTCAACTATTGGTCCTCTTGCACCATTTTTTCTATATGTTTCTCAGTACATCACACAACTTCTAGCTGATTCCATATTTTACTCATCGTAATTCATCTTTTTGAGTTCCTAAATTGGCTGGGCAGACCATCTGAGACAGAGCCTCCATCTCAACAATACAGTTCGTCTCTGCTCTGTTAACCTCCTCCCTCCCACCCCATCTCTCTTGTTCATCTTTATCACAGACTGTAGAAAGAAGTGGACAGTGTTGGGAATAATGCCATTTAAAGGTTGTATGGAGGATTTTTTTTTTAGTTTCAAATTGTCAGTAAAAGTTTAAAATACCATTACAGAGATGCAGCAGCCTTGTAATTATGATGACCAAAAAAAAAAAAAAAAAAGAATGAAAATCTATCATCTGTGGACGTAGTGAGGCCAGATAAACATCAGCCAATAGAAAACGAGGCTACCTTTTTATCTATTGGCTGTTTGTTATCAGTCAAACTCCTTATGTTTCTAGTGTAACTGAATTACGTGGTTTATGCAGCGGTTCTTAGAGGCTTTTTTAAACTGTAGCTTCCTCGAAATTCGGCCAAACTTTGTTGCGATGGCGGACGAGAATCCACGACCAGTTCGCCGCAAAAGAAAGTCCGTTTTTGAGGTCACTGAAAGAAGAAGAGGAGGGGAAAAGGAGCAAAGCCACACTGAGGTGATTCTTGGAGATCGTTTCCAGCGATGGCGCGACTGAAGCAGACGAAGGGTCTAAAAACTGACACGTTGGTCACTAAATTATTTCTAGACAGGTCACTTCAACAGTAATTCTGAACACACACTGGCTGTAAACAAGCGTGATTTCTAGAGTAAAGAGGCGGGAGGAGATGTTTCTACTGAAGGAGGTGGAAGGTGGTGTCAGACATGCGCAACATTTGAAAAAGGACTGTCGCTGTATTTCTCCTTCCTTAAAAAAATCCTCTATATAACCTTTAAGTATAACAGCGCTACTAACGGTGCTACATTTTATCCGGTAACGAAGTAATCTAATTAGTTACACTCCCCATCGTTACAATACAGATATCATTACAGAGAAAGCAAAATGGCACGTTACAGTTGGGTTGAATGAGGCGCTGCAGTGTCAGGCTTCATGCAGCAGACACACACACGTCATCATCATCATCATCAGCAGGAGCGGGGAGAGTTCAGGACAGAGCAGGGCCACCATGATCGGCAAGTTGGGTGGGCGGAGTCTCTGCTCACATTGCCTTTTTGTTTCTTTCCTGCACACTTCAGGCTAAATGAAACAAACATAATGAGAATGCGGCAATGGCAACGATTAGCCAGGGACATTCAAAGGCAGAGTTTTTAAACTGGAAATAGCGACAGTATTTCTGCCTCGTTGAAAGAAAGGGCAAGAATGTGGATGTTAAGTGTAACTGTAGGAAAAAAATTCTGTCCGCATCTACCTGAAGTAACTCCAATCTAATGAAGTCCCTCACATCGTCCCATGTAACACACCTCTCTTTGTTGTTCACCCCGAGTCCCGGTGCAGTGATCGTGAGCTCTAGTGAACATGGAGACAAACCCATTGCTTTAAAGCAAGACACACTTTTCAGACAATAGAACATAACATGAAAAACAACTTGATAATTACTTTGCTGTGTATGTAATTAATATTACAGCATGCTGAGTTACTAATTCAGTTACTTTATGGGGGAAGTAATTTGTAATGAAACTGGGATACTCATATTCGTGTATACATGAACAAATGGAGTATCCTGGTTTCTTGACATAATCTTACAAATGTGCAAGTGCAAAAATTTACCTAATTTAAGTTAATAAACCAGGAAAAATACAAACAGGAAGCTCGGGAGGTTATTTTAATAGCTCCATGGGTTCTAACCAGCGGTACGGAGCTATGAGGTATCCCACAATCCACTGCACAGATCAAACCCTATATCGTAAAGGAGATGTTTCATGTTTAACTTTTCAGCGATCATACGTGCAGGTCGTACGAGTGCAGATTCGTGTGCAGGTTTAGCGCTGTCATTTCATTCATGTGTGGTCACTTTATTTATGTCGCTATTAGACTGAAAAGTATTTGTCATTTGGATGCATGCACACTCAAATTTATGTTGCAGTTACCGCTGATACTGCGTATGCATGCCACAGTATCCCGGTTACTATTGGAATATACCGGGATACTGCCATAACTGGGATACTGAAACCATATACATTCACCATGACGAAACCGGGACACTCATGTGCATGTATACACACTCATTGACTGTTGCGGCATGGCCCTTGCTAGTGAAATATATATTTCTGATTGACAGTGGACATGGGGATTGTTTTTGTGGGCGGGTCCATTATTTTGTTGTTTTCTTCAAATGTTGTATTGTTGAAAATGTATTGAACATTAGAATACTGTTGACAGTAGTCCCCAGTCTTTGATGAATGTTTGTTTTTGTGGCAGACCCTGACTCCACACAACAAGGGCCTGATCCGCAGAGCCATCTCTCAGAGCGGAGTGGCCCTGTGTCCCTGGGGCGTCATCGAGAACCCACGCAAGGTTGCTGAGAAGGTGAGAACACACTGCAGCCATCTTATTTTTAACAGACTAGGAATGCACTGATATTGTTACTAATACTGGGTCAGTCTGACAACAGGTGCCACTAACACTATAACTGCACTGCGTCTTATTTCATGCTGAACTGAACACAGCAGTAATAATAATAATAATAATAATAATAATAATAATAATAATAATAATAATAATAATAACTGAAAAGGCTTGATCACCTTTCGTCCTTAACCTCGACTTTACAACAGCTAACAAGGACCTGTCTAAAAATCTAAGTCTGCAGGAGGCTCATACAGGGTTAAAAGTTCTGAAATGTAACTTGGTGCAAAGCTAAAAGTGATCAGTAAAATCTTAAAATTAATTCTAATACACACAGGCAGTAAATTGTGAGATTCTGTCCAGCAGGATTAATTCAATAACTTTAACACTATGCTGTCCAGAGCTATAGGTCTATAATTGTCACATCTGCCAATTTTCCCAGTTTTATCTGTAATGACAGAGACTAGCAATACAGTTAACAACAGGGCCAGGTAAAAATCCATGAACAAGGAGAGCTGTGGGAAACAGTTGGAAAGCAGTAGTGCTAACCTCGCACTTGAAAACTTTAACTGATCTGCTGCAGCACCATCCTGCCTGCTGGCCTTATATTGGACACTTTGGTGAAAGCTTTAGAGACAGTTCGGAATTTTGGACATAGGGCCTCATTTCCTAGTGAGCCAGAGTGTTGGAGACGTGTGGAGACACTTTTTTAAAATATTCCATCCAGTCCTTGTATTTGCAGAGGTCACTGGTGTTAGACTAGTGCATGTCAATGGCCATAGTTATCCAGCCACTAAAAACAGTCTTACCCACTCCACAAAACACCTGAAGCAGATCTATTATTACGCTGGGACTGTCGATGTGAATGTCTGTGTCGATAGAATAATTTTAGAAGTAAAACCAACCTTGCATTTGAAGGATTTATGTCTGAGCAGCAGCAGCAACGAGTTGTATGTCCTGATAGAAAGCTTGGCAGTGGCGGAGTGATATATGAGAAAATAGTCCCTCAACCTGCGATGATTCATGTGATGCAAGGTTGTTTTTATTGCAAACATTATTCTATCAACACAGACATTCACATGGACAGTCTGGTAAGTGTCTCCACACGTCTCCAACACTCTGGCTCACGAGGAAATGAGGTCCTACGTCCAAAATTCTGGACTGTCCCTTTAAGGACTTCATGTGACAGGATTATATCTGCATGGTCAACATAATCCATAAAAAGGCTCACTCAACACAGTCAAGCCTTGTGCCTCGTTGAAAATGTGTGAAGGATGTTCTCTTTAAAACGACATATTAACTTTGTAAGTTGCTTCTGGCAAGGATTAACTCCTTAAATGCTAGTTTCTGTCATATACAGCATACAGTCATTTTGACTAAAACTAATATATTTTTTCTCTGACTATGACCAGTGTGACTGGCTTATCAGTGTGCATGTTCAGTGTCAAAACTGACTTTAGGCCATTTTTTGTTTTTTGAGAAAAAACTACTGAAAAGTCACACTGAGAGTGTTTTGTACAAATTGTGTATTTTTTTTCCTGAAGGGGTTCCATTTCCATTGACATACTGATTCCATAATTTACCACAGATAATTCACTTTAGATGCCAATACCACTTACAGCAAATTCAAATTGTAAGCAATAATTCAAAAATAATATATATCATATTTTTCAGACTATAAGTCTCTCCAGAGTATAAGTCGCACCAGCCAAATAATGCACAATGAAGAATAAAAAAACATATATTCCACTGTATTCTTTATTCTTAATTAGAAAAATCTTGGACATGATGACCATTTTATAATCTGGCGTGGTCTAGCCATACAACAAGAAAGAGAAAAACTTGTATTTGTCCTCTGTATGCATCTTAAAGCACTGACAACTCATAGTTCATACTAACACTATGTATGTGTGTAATATTTTTTAAACTGTAAGCCTTCAGGCTAGTTCCTTTAAAAGTCCAGTTGTATTTTTTCATTCCAAACCCTAAGTCTCTTTCTGTGTGTGTATCAGGTGGCTCAGAGGGTGAACTGTCCGACTGACAGCAGGATGGCGGCCTGTCTCAAGTCGACTGACCCTGTGGCCCTCACCAAGGCTGGGGCCATCAGCATTCAAAGCACCCCTTCCCGTAATTCATATTTGTTATATTTTTGCCATTATTTTACACAAATGCTTCCCTGTATTTATTTTAGTGTTTTTATTGTTTTATTTTTTATTTTATTTTGCTCCAGTGCTTTGTCCTGACCTCTATGTATTACCAACAGGTAGAGTAGTGCAGTGTTGTGCATGAACGAGTTAAAAAAAAAGGCGTTTATTGAACATTTATTGATCATTTGTAAGTCAAGAACTTGAACGCAAATTTGTTCAAATTATGTGAGATGAACAATTTACATCACTGTTGGGATTCAGTTAAACGTCGGGATTTGTTTTCACCTGATGAGTCGACTGACAAGGTCTGCTCGCACTTTTTGAGGTCTGGCTCCACTGCACGCGTCAGCGTTTACAAGCGTAACCTCGCGAAACCACAGCCACGCGTCAATGCAAAGGCGGCTCCACCAGCAGCTGCAGCAGGATGTAGACGCGCAGCACTGGCTCTGTGTTTTTCAAAGGGAAAGACAATCAAAATTGACTGGGCGCGTTTAATCACTTGTATCAGGTCTATGGTGAAACTAACCGCTGAATAGGCTTGTATTTACCTTCTGTACAGGCTGATCACGGCAAACAACACGATTTCAAAGCACTAATTAACAGTATTTCTGGATCTGGGCTCTTTCACACGACACAGAACTGTCCCAGGAGCACGTTGCACAGATGGTAAATGTACAAATACAACAACAGACGTGCGCTCTCTATGTATTTTGATGGGGATACGTGCCTATGCTCATGCAGAGCTTCAAAAATACAATGGATCCTATTTTCTGAAATCTACGTGAACAGGACGAGCTGCTCCATACACGTGTCTAGAGCGTGCACTGGAGCCACCCTCATTACTTTCAATGTATTCTACAAATTACATGTCCAAAAGTTGCAGTGACATTCCTCTGTCACAGAAAGAACACATATAGTCATGTCCTTTAGTTTGACAGAAGCTGATGCATCAGCGCACAAGGAAAAAGCTGCTTTTTTCAGTGTTTACAGTTTTTGCAAATTAGCCATGCAGTTATAAGTTTATTTTATGTAAGACGTAAACAAAGCTGCATTAAACACATTATAATGTCAAACAGGCTGACGTGGCTCTACAGTGCTTATGGTTTATAGGTAGTAAAGTTGCTGTAAACTGGAAGTCAGTTTGAAAAATAAGTTAAGCCTTTCATTTACATATCTCACCTAAAAATAAAATGAACTGAACTTTGAACTAGTTCAAAATTAAAATGGTGAACTATGAACATGAACATGTGTGAACTGAACTTTGAACTAGTTCATGAAAAGTGTGAACTTGCACAACACTACAGGGCAGTTCACTGTTAAATGTCTCAACAATAATTTCATTTGATAATAACCATGTTTGTAAACTTTACTTTGAGCTTTGTGTTATATTGTCCCCTCAGCAAGTTCGTACATGGAGTTGTATTTTGCTTCATTGTGCCCTTAATCCATCAGTACAAAGTCATTTTTTCTGAGCACTCAAAAATGCTCTGTTCATGTTCTGCCTGGATTGTGACGTCATAGGTAGAATTCTGGACTTCTGCTGTGCTGTTTTTAAGTCCCTAAAACATCATTAGACTCAGATCCAATTGTGTTCACAGTGAACACACTGGATGTGTGTAAAATGCACTATATTTTTGACAAATGGTTCATTTCTAATCCAAAGTGTGTCCACATGTAGAACCTATGATCGAGAATATGGATCTGGCTGCGGTGGTGGATGGAGACTTCCTGCCGGACCACCCCTCAAATCTGTTCCACAACGCGGCTGCGATCGACTACATCGCCGGGGTCAATGACATGGACGGACACATCTTCACTGCCCTGGACATCCCCTCGATCAACTCCATGTTGGTGGACACATCCATGTGAGTTAGGCTATTGACTATTTATTGGTTTCAGCCAGGGCTGCACAACATAAAAATATAAAATATTAAATATGGGTGCTATGTACATCAGTGCAATTAATTTATATGATGCTGATTTTTGTATATCCTAAAATCACAACAGGGGTTGATAACCATATGTAGAGGCGCATGGACGCACCACTAAAGTGTTGCAGTCCGAAAGCGTTCAAGTGCGAACAACAGGTGAAAACAATTAGTGGCCATTAAGTAGGATAGAAGCACCGAGTGACCAGTGCTAACAGTGAAGCAGTGTCCAGCATGCTCCAACTCTACACACGGTATGATTTCTACGTGCCTAATTGGACCCATATTAACCACGAAACCTAACTAACTCTAAAAATCACATTTTTATCATGAAAATCCATGTTTGTCTGTGAAACTCTGAGCTGTAACATGTGTAATGATTGAAGTTTAATAATGCCTCCTGCGATTAACCCATCTCTCTGCCTGCATACAAAGAAGAGTAAATCAGGGAGCACAGTGTGCTCTACGCACAGCTCCAGCTGCACATTTGCTTTTATACTTGCCCTGTTTTGTAAAAAAATATCTAGTAAAGCATTGATTAAAGTCCCAGTGTTCACCATAACAAGGCAAGAACCTCAGCCCAGCTCACGGGGCACTCCGAGCTGCCAGCTCTCACCAAAGCCCCAACTCTCCCACAGCGAGCCAGGCAGGGAGATCCATGCTCCCACTGAGACATACATGGTGAGGCTTTTCCCACAGCCTCAGTAAACTCAACACCTCTGACTGTTCCATGTTTAAAAGGGTAAACAAGACCACAAACTGGAGAGTATCCTCGATGCAATACACTCTCGTGCCCAGACCTGTTCACCCGTGTTTGACTTTGGCTCTGTGCAGTACCCACTTTTCTGCCTGTGAGGCCCCAGAAAGCACGGAATTTAACCAGGCGTAATCCACATCATTTTCCACTACAAAGGCTGATAATATACTTGTGTCTATTTTTTATTTACAGTGGTTTTCTTATATTGTCTTTTACATTTAGAAATGTAAAAAAAAAACACTTTGCTCGCAAGACTATGGCTCTCTCATACCACAACTGTTAAAAATTTAGCTTTTATTTACTTTTATTTTACTGCAGCAGGAAGCACATCTCTGTTTCGTAAAAATGAAATGTAATCAGTTTCAGCAGCTTGAATGCAACCAAAGTGTGTAACAAAGTTTGTACTGCATATTTGTGTGCCGTCATTTGAGCATCAAAGATGCCCTTGACATCATATGTTCAAGCATCCCAAGCACTTAACGCAATTTGACACCTAGCATGGAAATGCCGTGTGAAATGAAAAGTATGAAAAAAGATCTGTCGTTTTGTAAGTTTTCTTGTAATGCCGGTACATTTATTTTATTATTATAACTTTATTTAAAAGTACCTCTGAGATGCAGTGAGACAAGGGAGCATCCTAACACAACATACAAAATCAAATCATAAATCTAAGTTATAATATCTTGGTACACAAGTTATACACAACAAACAAGCATATACCTTCTAGGCCCAAGATTGGCTATAATTTTAATCCAGTTTTATTTTGTGCTGCTCTCGTCTGTCTGCTGCAGTGACGACCTGAAGGCAATGCTGGGGGCATTCACCAAAGACAAAGGTAAGACCGGTATGGAGAAAGCTTTCTCCACCTACTCCGCCAACTGGGGCAGCAGTCCGAGCCGCGAGACCATCAAGAAGGGCGCCGTGGCCATGGGGACAGACTACATGTTCCTGGTGCCCACTCAGGCTGCTCTGTACCTCCACGCCAAACGTGCCACGTGAGAACCATTTTACATCTTATAAAAGTAAGGTTTATCCAGGAGGATATTCGTCCTCCTCTAGCCAGGTTTGTGGAGATGCAACTTTTACAACAAAAGTTAGTTTTCATACACCACACTTCTTCCTGAGTAATAGTTGACAGTTTAACAGTATTTGATTAAAAGTTCTAGTTTTCTGGCAACTGGCAAAATCTTTATATTGACAATATTTTTTGTGCCAAAATTTTTATTCAAGTGTTACCATTTGCAGTTGTACAGGTTCCAGTTAGCATAGTAATTATAATTAGAATATCATTATAATAATTTTCTTCCTTTTAAACTCCCCACCTCCCACCCTGAAACTGAACACACATACACATAAATACATATAAAGATTATGCATACACACAGTTACTTTTACAGTTCACTTCTTACTTGATTAGTATCTTCCTGAAATATAGACACTAATCAATGTAAACTTATTTTCTATTTGTTGTGTCCCTCCCCAGAACTGGCCGTACATATTCATACCTGTTAACTGAGCCGAGCCGCTTGGCGGGGATAGTCTCACCCTACCCCAGCTGGATGGGAGCAGACCACATGGACGACCTGCAGTATGTGTTTGGGAAGCCCTTCTCCACTCCTGACGCGTACGGGGCTAAGTACAGGAACCTGTCCAGTTACATGATCGCATACTGGACCAACTTTGCTAAAACTGGGTATGGACTGTTCACTTCTCACTTAAAGGTGCACTGTGGAACTTTTTTGCTAGAGTCTGTACCCACCAGTTAGTGGTGGGATTCCAGCTTCCACAGTTGAATGCTGTCTTTGTGTCCTTGGGCAAGACAGTTAAGTGAGGGGCCAGGCCATGTAAAATTTTACATTTCACATAGACATTGAAGTTAATTTGATTGACTAATATACAAAACAGAAGCGAGCCCAAGGACTGATCCCTGCGGCACACCAGTTGTCATGTGAGAGATAAGACTGCACCAGTTTTTGGGCAGATGCTGAAAAAATAAAATGGTCCAGTTTGGACAATAGGATTTTATGGTTGACTGTGTCAAAAGACTTTTAAAGGTCTAAAAAAATGGCACCAACAAGAATATGTTTAGCAGTAATTTATTTTGTCTATGAAAAAAACAAGTAGCTGTCTCAATTGAATGGTTTACTCTAAATCCAAGCTGTAGTGGATGGAGAGATCAAGTGTGATTGAGGTGGTCTCTGATCTGTTCATCTGACCATACACCATTCTTGACATGGTGGGCAAAATGCTGATGGGTTGATAGTTTGAAATGGATTGAGGGTCTGCTGATTTGAAGCTATCACATTTTTGTGATTGGGCTTATTAAGATTATTTATCTTAATTCTTTAAGGATAGTTGTGTCCATCCTGAACACATCCTTTGCTTTTAACTGTTTTAACCCAATGTTCTATTCATTTGCTGTGTGAAAAGTGAAGTGAATGTTTTCAAAATATCCGTATTTATCCATGTGAGGCTATACTTTTTATTTCTTTGTTTAAACTCCTGAGAGAATTCCTGGATAGTATTTTTTATTTTACATGAAAGTACATTGCCACCATCTTCCAAATCCTTGTCAGCAAGTAAATGCTCCTGTTTTTTGAAGGATATTCTAAATGATTCCAGTACCTTACTACTAACACCAAATCTCCTTTTTGTTAGGTTTCTGGACACAAGAACTAAATGGTGCTCTGAGAGCAACGTTCTCATAGAGACAAATTTTGTAATTCTTTCTGCGCTTGGAGCTTGGAGTTGTCACTTGTTTGTTTGTTGTTTGTTAGTTTATTTATTTATTTATTTTTTTGTCTTGCCAGTTGACATTAAAATTTCATTATTTTTAACTCCTTGTTCAGATAAGAACTTGCAAGAATGTTTTTAAACTTTTCATAAAAATCAATACCAGCAGCTGGTGGGCAATTACAATGAGATTTTACCCCAGTGCTTTTCCAAATCACTATTCACTAGACTTATTTCCTCAGATTTAATGCTGTCTTTTATATACACCATTTGATTTTACCCTCTCATCTTGTTTAAAGAAAAAAAATAAAATTAAAAAATGTATAATTGAAAATGAACCTCTTCAGTTCTAGAACCCTCTAGAAACTTTTCTCCTTGTTCCTCCTCAGAGATCCAAACCAGGGTGGCTCGTCGGTCCCTGTTGCTTGGCCGAAGTTCCAAAGTAGTGGAGAACAGTACCTCGAGATCCGCAGCAACATGGGCCAGGGCTTTGTCCACCAGGACATGAGATTGCGCTTTGTGACCTTCTGGACCAGTGTGCTGCCCAGTCTGCCCACCATTACTAAGTCTGAATAAAATTGATCTACCATACACCACATAGATGCAACACATTACAGATATTAAAGGTCTGTACTTCTTTCTGCTCCTTTTCATTCACAGTGATGTATGAAACATACTTATTTTGTATTCATCTTTCATGAATGAAACAAATAAAAAATGAAATGAAAAATGAAATGACTACTGCTTTGTGTTTTTTTTATTTATTTTTTAATGCTGTGACTTTAAGAATTTCACTTATTATCAAATGCTATCACCAAATATTTGTATTGAAGTACTGTAGTCAGTCAATTGAACTGATTCACTTTTAAGGAAGGTAGACAATAGACATACATGCTGCATTACATCATCAAATCCTAGAACATGAATGTAACCTATTCTAAACAGTGTATAACAGCAACAGAATATAAGAACTTGCAGATATGAACAGGTTATTGAACTCTGTCTTGCACAGTGGTTAAACATTACCGCTGTGGGAAAAGTGCCCCCCAGCCTCAGATGCTGCTCTGGGGGTGTGTGTGTGTGTCAGTGTATGGAGTATATAGGTCTGGTAGGGCTCCAGTCTGGCCCTTACAGTCTAGACACAATGGCTCTGTTTGGTATTTGTGTGGCTATGGCCGTGTTTTTGGAGACCGTCTCTGCTACCTCAGTAAGTCTTCTGGATGTTTTTAATTGTATCTGCAATTTAGAATTATAAACTGAAGCATGAAGTAGATTTTTTTTAATATATATTTTTGACTAGTTTATGCTTATGCTGAAATTGAATGGGCTGATATTATGCAGCAATATAATATAATATATGTACTAGTGTAATGATGGTTTGAAGCTGAACTATGTAATTTTTCTGGTAGGGTTCTGCCACCTGCTCATCTCCATTCTAGACTTTGCCTAGAGTTAAACTGTATGGAAATAGACTCATCTAAAAAATACAAAAAAACTGTAATTGAATAGTAAAGTAGATTTATACCATACAGTTTTATATAAACCCCCCACTCACTCACAGAAGTTACAGGTTGTAATGAATTGTCTTCCGTGTGCAGCTGGGAGTGGTGTACACGGAGGGGGGCATGGTGGAGGGCCGGAGCATCCGCCTGGGCTTCCGCAGACACATGGACGTGTTCAAGGGGATTCCCTTCGCTGACATCCCCGGACGCTTTGAAAAACCCAAACGTCATCCAGGCTGGGACGGTGGGCACACACTTGATTAAGTTTAGTTCTAAGTTGAAGGAGGATTCATGTCGCCTTTGCGAGTGTGTAGCTAGACTAAACTGGAAGAAGTGTTTTGGGGCAAAACATTACCAACTCAATAAAATAATAATGATCTAAATGAATTATTCAATAATCTGAAGGCTGGTAAAATCTTTTACTAATATACTGACCCATATCTGGACGTAAGAATCACTTTTCACCCAAACAAATTGTGGTTTATGAACAGGTATAGACCAATTAAACAGACAGCATTTGAATATGAAACACGTAAATGAGTCATAGAAATGCAAGATCATCATGATTTGAATGAATTAACATGTTTAAAGCATGAAGTGTATGAAAAGGTGGAGTGGTTTGAATGGTATCTGTAGATTGGGAGATTAGATGTGTGGCCATACTGGCTTGTCAAAGCCTGATCCTGTCAGATCTCCGAAGCTCAGCAGAACCGGGCCTGGTCAGTACTTGGATGGGAGACCACTGGGAAAATCAGGAGCCACAGGGGGGCGCCAGTGATAAAAACTGTTGTTGTGTCCTTAGGCATGGCACTTTAGCCTCATTGCCTAGTATGAAAGTGGTGTGTGAGTGATGGTGGTGGTTGGAGGGGCCGATGGTGCAGAATGGCAGCCTTGCTTCTGTCAGTCTGCCCCAGGGCAGCTGTGGCTACAGTAGAAGCTTACCACCACTGGGTGTGGAGTGAATGAATAATGAACTGTAAAGCATCTTAGAGTGTCCATAAAAGCACTATATAAAACTGATGCATTATTATTATTATTAGATGTGAAATTAACTTAAGCCAGTCTGTGATGTGCACGCTTATATGACAGGAAGCAAGAGGTGTGATTTCAGTAAAATTAGGTTCTGAGTTTCCACAAGATCTGACCTTTGTGTGGCAGGACAGATCACCCATGCTTCCCTCCATCCATGATTATCTGATTATCTGGGGCTGGGTTGAGGGCGGCAGCAGTTTAAGCAAGAACTCCCACGACACTTCCTCCTTCAGATGTTCTCAGGCCAGTCAAGAGACACAGTACCTCCAGCGTGTCCTGGGTCTTCCCTGGGGTCTCTTTATGGTGGGACATGCCTGGAACATCTCCCCAGGGAAGCATCCAGGAGGCACTATAACAGATGCTCAAAGGCTCAGGGATGTGACCTTATCGTTCACTGGGTAACTTCAACATGAGGTGGATGAGCCATGGGGCTATAAACCGTGGAGCCCCCACCCCAGGCCTGGCTCCAGGGTGGGGCCCCAGTAACATCAATCTGGTGGTATAACAGACCTTTTGTTACAAAATCATACTTGGCTTCTAAACCAAGTTTTACATAAGTAAAGGGTTTTCATGAGACATTTACAGATCAATATGTGAGCAATATTAACATCATTCTCAAATGAATATTGGTGCTGTTCTACTAGTGGAAAAAGTAATTCACTGAGATCGTTTAATCACACAGCAGTGGCTTTTATGTCTATCTCTGTCATGGCGTGTTTATCTGAATTTCCTTTTTATTTTATTTTGTCGCTCTTATAGTTTTATTTGTATCAAGGATTCTAGAAAACCAAATATTTTCCTCTTGGCATGAAATGTTTGAGAATCACTGACCAAAAATTGAAGCCCATAATACTTACTAAAACTACATCCTTGATTAGTTGTAGCAGCCTTCAAACATACTGAGTTGAATCAAATTGTGTCTGTTTCCTCAGGGGTGTTGAAAGCCAAAGAATACAGAGCCCGATGCCTTCAGGTGAACATGATCATGACCGACACCAGAGGCTCTGAGGACTGTCTCTACCTCAACATCTGGGTTCCTCATGGCAAGGAAGGTGCACAACTTACACTCGTCAGCTGACCATTGACCAGCAGACCAGTCAGTGTTTCCTCTGTGTGTGTCTGCATACAGTTCTATTAAATAAGGCACTACTGACCATTGTTTTCCTCTTGTACCCTAGTCTCCACCAACCTGCCTGTGATGGTGTGGATCTACGGAGGGGCCTTCCTCGTGGGGGGCTCCATGGGGGCTAACTTCCTGGACAACTACCTGTATGACGGACAAGAAATCGCAGACAGGGGAAAGGTCATTGTGGTGACTCTGGGATATCGTGTAGGGGCCCTGGGCTTCCTGAGCACCGGAGAGTCTGATATGCCTGGTTAGAATTATTCCTACATCTTTTAGTTGTTTCTCTTTGTTTTCAACAGTGCAGATGCAGTATTTTAAACATCCTCCATGCTTATTTATTCACATGTGCAGAGGTCATTCAGCCCTCTAAACGTCATTAAGGATTTCTGTGCTTTTAATCATGTGATAATGCTGTCTTTTCATCAAAAACAAACCTATCGCTGTGTTTTATTTTAGTCATGCTTAATTGTCCTGGTGTATAAACTTATGACCAGCTTGTAGCAGTGCCACCCACCTCACTCCAGCGGACAACCATTAGATCAAATCATCATCAGTGTGGACACAACGTCGCCTGGCAAAACCACAATATCACGTACTCTCTCGCCTGTAGTGATATTTATTTGAAATTTAGCGATTATAATCATTATCATTTTCATTTAAATGTCCTTTTGTTCCCTATTTTGGGCTGGACATGGCTCTTTTCCATGCCTCTCTGCCCCGGCTCCTCATTGATGCATTGTTGTCCTCACAGATCACATTTTTCCACCTCTTTCTTAGTCTCTCTGCAGGGCGTTTTCCCTCAGTCTTATACTTCAAAGTAACTGTCAGGACACTGTCCTCTTCCGCATGTATCACGTGTCCAGGCGCTGCTGAGAGATTATCTCCAGTATGGTTCTTTCTAGTAGCTCCTCACTTCTTTCGTGATCCTTCCACTTCACTCCAACCACGTGCCTGATCATGACTCTGTCTTTGGATCTAGCACCTGTTCTGGCTTTGTTATTAGGATCCATGCCTCTGCTCCATAACACAGAACTGGTTTTATACATGCACTGTACACTCTGGTTCTATGTACAGATACATACTGGAGTTTACTTATTGCCAAGCCCTTCCACTTTCTTGGCTCTCGCTGCAGCTTCCACTCATGTGTCTTCATCAAGAACATTGATCAAGTAAACTGAACGACTGCACCTCCTCACTTTTGGAGTTTGCTGATTAATCAACCAGAACCAGATTGACCTCTCCCTCATACCCCACTTTATTTGCTCCCTCTCTTTTGTAATCTCAGAATTTCTGTGAAATTACTTTTACTTTATTTTTTTGGTTTTATTTAAAATGTTTTATGTGTCTTCAGGAAACTACGGCCTGTGGGACCAGCAGGCGGCCATCGCCTGGGTGCACAGGAACATCCGCTCGTTCGGAGGAGACCCCGGTAACATCACCATCTTTGGAGAGTCTGCAGGGGGCGCTAGTGTCAGCTTCCAGGTCTGCTCCATCTCATCTCTACATCAGTGTGGAACTTTAACTGAATTAATGGAACATTGTATAACAACACTATACAGTGGTCCTTTCTATGACTGTGGCATGAGACAATAGACCTTCCTACAGCCAGGTTTTTATCAACAGAAAAGCAGCAATGCAAAATATATATCACAGTATGGCATTAAATCTTATCAATCTTGCATTTATTCAGTTACAGCTGTTTTTATTGTTAAAAATGGAGATAGAAGTTTTTTACCATACAGTGGAATCATGGAGACTAAAAGGGCTCCACCCTGAACTGTATATTATTGCTGATTTATTTATTTGACTATTACAAAGTGAATGACTATGGCTCAGGTACTAGAGTGGATCTTGTGTTATTAGAAGTTTGGCAATACACAATGGAAACAAGAATGTTGCTGACGCTCCACTTGGGTTCCCTCAATATCATGTTTTCTTTGGGGTCCTGCCGCTTATTCCGA